GGATAAAGAATCTCCTCTGGAAAGATGTCCGACTGAGCTCAGAAGCATCTGGAGATGAGCTACCTATAATTTCCCATAGGAATTAGCTTCCCTGGTTAACCTCAGTCCATTTGATAAGAAATGATATCTTGTTTTCTAATTTCCATCAGTGTGGCTTCAGCTTCCACTCCTTGTGGACACTGCTAATGCAGGATGCTGCACTGTGCTGCTGGCTCTGGGCCACAGCACTTGGAGTCCGAAGCAAAGCTATAGTACATGTACAGCTGGGAGTGGGAAAGGGCTTTGGGAACGCAGCTCAGACCTGCTGTGGATGATGTGCTGCTGGTCCTGATGTCACTTTGTAGCTCTTGAGGGTGATGAGGCACTGGCACAGGTTGCCCAGAGAAGCTGTGGCAGGGGGATTGGAACTAGATGATCTTGAAGGTCCCTTCCAACCCAAACCATTCTATGATTCTAAGATGACTTAAGGCTTTTTTTGTTCATTGTTGGCATAGAGATGTTGGCTAAGAGGTGTGGAGTGCTTATCTTCAGTTTAGACAGTGAGTGACAGTTCAGCTGCTTCTTTCCTGGGTCCTGGAGAAAAGGTGTATAAAGCTCTTCTTGCATTAACAGCGTTTCCTCTCCTGAGCTGGACTTTTGTGTTGGTTGGTAGAAGGATAACCCTGGTGTTACCCCATGTCTGTCAATAGAAACACCCAAAGAGGCTGGAAAAAGTTATTTAAGTAACATTTTTAGAAAATGCCTGGCTGCTCTGAACACCCCACTATTGAGCTGCAGGGTTGTAGGTTTCCCCCATAATACTGCACCTTGTTGAGGATTGGGCAACCACGTGCCTGGTTCCTGCTTCATCTTCTCCTTGGCTGACTCTATGCCTTTGCAATGTGATATCAAGGCTGTCTCCTGTTTAGCGACAACCTAGCTGGAGAACAAGGGCAGCAGATTCTGTCCTCTAAGAACAAGTGTTTTGTCTGACCTAGAGGCAGACAGCTGTAGGATCTACAAGCAAGGAGCCATTTGCTCCTGGCCGGGGTGCAGCCTTGCAGTAACACAAGTGTGGTGAGCCCATGCCAGCTACCAGTGGTAAAGGAGCCTCTGAGCTGGAAGGGAAGGAGAGGAAGAGTTTTGTGGCAGAGGAAGGAAGAGCCTTTCAGCAAGTATGTGGTCCTGGCCAATGCAAGCACTTTCAATCCTTCTCCCTGTTGCAGTGTTTAGAGCCCTGGTTGTTACCAGCTGGCAGAAGCGGGAACACCTGGATGATACTGGAGGTGAAAAGGGAAGTCCACAACACCCCTGAGTCATGTCTGGCTCAGTCTTCCGACTAAATAATTTCCTCTTTAACTGCTTCATGGCAGGACTGAGGTTTGGATCAGACCACTGTTTCCAAAAATTCAGCTCTGCTAAGAGTGGTGAGTGCAGATTCCCCTCCGTGCTGACATACAAACATGTGCATGTGCAAGTGTAGGGTTGTTAATTCAAACCAAGTATAAAAATGCCCAGTTCTTGTGCCCCTGGAGCATCTGATCTTGGTGCAAGAAGGCAAGAAAGCAAAGAGTAATTAGTCAGCCCTTGGGCATTTTAATGTGGCAGAGCTGACATTCTAGTAAGCATGAAATGCTGCAAATTAGGGAGAGTAATGAATTTTAACACTGCCCTAAGAACATTCTCCCCACACCTTCCTTTTACTTATTTTGCAAGGTGGTTTTATTGTCGTTTGTGTTTTTTTAAAAATTATCCTGAACAGTATCCCTTTGCCTTCTGCTTGGCGTTTCCTTTGCAACTTAAGTCCATCTACACACCATCATGTGAGAGCAGCCCTGCAGTGAGGACAGATGGCTGGTGAGGCGACAGTTGCTGTGGGGTGGGATAGCAGGGCAGAATTCGGGCTAATTTGAGCACCAGAAGAGCTGGAACTCCTTGGCTGAGAAGACCACAGTCTTGTTCTCGTAGGGATGGATGCTGCTGAGGGTGTCTTGTGAAAGTCAGTGTTGCAAGGATCACTGGAAAGCACAGCTCCAAGCTGCAGGGTGTAGCAGTAATTTTATGAATGAGTAGCCAAGTGTCAGCCCTTGGCCATGGTACGGGCTACAGAGCAGCATCCAGCATCTCCTACATCAAACCCAAAACTCCTACCTTAACTTGAGCATGGCTTTCACAAAGGCACCAGACCTCCCTTCTCCCCTCCTTTCCAGGCTCGCTTCCTAAATCTCACTGGTTCTTTCTGCTCAACTTCCAATGGAAATATCCTTTTCCATATGTCAGCCCAGCTCATGCACCCATCCAAACAATTCATCTTGCATGTCAGCTAATAGCATCCTTCTACTCTCTCAGCCTGTTGTATTCCTGCAGAAGGCAGTTGCCAACCATCCCTTCCCAGCACTGCTGCTTTCTCTGTGTCTCTCTGTAGCAGTGAATCGCTGTCACTGTGAAAGTCCTGCCTGATTGTCACTCAAAAGTAGCTTGGTCAGTGCCAAGATGTCCCCATGACCTCCCTGGGGGTATATGTCCCCCGTCCTTCACCCTTTCCTCTGCTGAAGATCTGAAGGCCAGCTCCTTCCCTGGCCCTCTTAGCAAGGTGGTTTGGACTACTGGGTGCATTCCCTGACTGCTCAATGAGGCTGTCAGCTTTTCTACAAGGAGTAAATCTAGTTTGTTATTCAGGTTTTGATATCAGGCCATTTGTTTTTAAGGCTTTTCTGAGGGCAGATGATGTATGTGGGTCTCTTTGTAGCATCTGAGATGCTAAAAAGCATCTGGTGCTGATGCCAAGGAGAAAATACCAGGAGCATCACTATAAACCTTTTATACCGCAGCACCTCAGTGCATCACTGAGCTGCCTTCAGAGGCTCCTGTGTGAATTAATACCTGTGTAACTGGCCCTATGCAGGCCAGGTCCTAGCCTTGGTTTCCAAAGAGAACACTTGTGCTGGAGACAGAGCTGCTCTCCCTGTCTCTGGCCTGCAAGCTATTATAAACTATAAATCTCAAATCAACAATCTTGGAGGATCATCATTAAATGTTCTTGGAGTAGGTGGTTTGTTGGCCATCCAGTGTCTATGATCTCCTCCTGGGAGATGCATCTACCTGTTGCCCCAGCCCATCCTGTGCAGTGGTGCTTCTCTTGCAGTTCAGATTATTTTTAATTAAAGGCTTAATTACGCCTTTTTACAGTTATTTGCAGTGGCTGCATCTCATGGCCTGAGGCTGGGACATGCTGGGTGATTTGGAGAAAGGTGGCTGGCTGGCACAAAGCACCCCACAAGCTGCTTTAGCAACTGATCCTCAGTAGCAGAGACCAGTGGAGCAGCAAACAAGGGGATCATTTTGGGTTCACTTAAGCTCTGAGTGATAAGCACTTGTGCTGGTAATCAGGCTGATAAATGCTGTCGATTAAAACCTGTGTTTTACTCTTCAGCTTTGCAGAAGTGATGTGGTTTTGTCTCTCCCAGAGGAGAGAAGCCTGGCTGGGTGGGTGATGCTCTTGGAGCACTGCTGTGATCAGAATGAACATTAGTTTAGCTCTCAAATACCTACTTTTCTTCAGCTAATCCTAGTGATTCATTAACAAAGGATCAATTTAGGGATGCTGGCATCCTAAATTGATGCCCAACTGTATGTGATTATATAATCCCTGGGATTTTGACTCTTTACAAATTAGCTGCTTCCAATTAGCCATTATCACAACTTCATTATCCCACTACAAATGATAATACCACAATAAGCATATGGTTTCTATATGTCTCACTAGGAATAATGAGAGATCAGCTTGCTGGATGCATCCACCCACTGGATGGGGCACCCTAAGTTTTACTATGTTGGAGACTGCAGTTGGGATTATGTCATTTAGGGACATGGTTTAGTGGTGGACTTGGCAGGGCTGGGTTAACAAGTGGACTAGGTACCTTAAAGGTCTCTTCCAACCTAAACAATTCTGTAATTCTACGGTTATGTGGCACATAAATTCCCATTTCTTTAGGAAACCATACTAGATGTTTACAGACTAAGGTCACTAGTGGTCAACATTTGAAAGAGAACATCCCATTTTGGGGATAGGTAAGGGTTGTACATGGCTGTTATAAATACAGAGAAAGTTTAGGGAAGGAGCTTTGGAAAAAGTCTGTAATCGAGTAGAGGGACAATGCAGAACTCCCCTTTTCCTTGTGCCTGCCATGGGGACAAGGTGACTCGCACTGCGGGGTGGAGAGATGAGGACCTGAGGGCTGATACCTAGTGCCCAAAGAGCAGAGGTGGTGGAGCAGCTATGGAGAGGTGCTGCTCTCTCTCTGGGGGACATTTGGGCAGTGGTTTCCTGCTGTCATGTGGATTGCTAAATTCGTGTCTCTGCCCTGGAAGCAAGGCACTTGTCAAGAAAGAATAATTAATCCAGAAACACGTGGTGCTCTGCTAGGAGGCCTTTTTTTAATTAAAATCAGATCTGATAAAGTCTACTGAGAAATTTGTGTCTCTGACAAAATTATGAAACACACGTCTGTGATTCGAGGCTGCGTGGCGGGGGAGCTCCGGGTAGGGCTCAGCCCCCATAAACCTGTGCACACCCATCTTACAGGGGGTGTCTTTTCCTCCTTGGCCTCTGAGAGCTGTGTTTTTCCCGAAAGAGTTACAAATTCACCAAGAAGGACACCAGTTAACATCTACTACTATGCCTGTGTTGGTGGTATTTGGCCAACTTGGGGGACATTATCTCAGTTGGTTAGAACATAGTGGTGATTAAATATCAAGGTCATGGCTTTGATCCCCATATGGGCCATTCTGTTAAGAGGTGGACTCGATGATCCATGTGGGTCCCTTCCAACTCAGAATATTCTGTGATTCTGTGAGAAATGGTAGTCCCATGTCCAGGGTGTCAGCAAGGTACACTTGGGCTTAGAGGTGGTTGTCTTCACCCACAGTGTCTTGGTCCTGCCACTCAGATGCTTCAGAAAAGGACAGAGTGTTCCTGGTCAGACCCTCCCCATCTCATTCCCGCTCTGCCTGTCCTCCAGAGCTAGTGGGGAAGAATGTTTTCCTCGGTGAAGCCATACGAGAACCAGCGCTACGCCTCCCTGAAGAAGGAGTGTCAGCGGCGGAAGCAGCTCTTTGAGGACCCGCTTTTCCCTGCCAATGACGACTCGCTCTTCTACAAGTCAAGGATTCAGGGCATCCAGTGGAAGCGACCAAAAGTAAGTGCATCCATCCCCTTGCCCCTCAATGCTGCTTTCTACCACCCCTGCTCTCAGGCATTCCTAAAAATGCACCGTGCATCCTTCGCCAAGGCATCAAGCCCCAGTCAACGTTTCTCCCCAGCTGGGTTTGTTTGCCCGGAACTGGTATTGTGAGCCTCTGGGGTGCCAGAGAGACCTGCTGAACTCAGGTCCAGGCTTTTCTGCCCACAGTGAGGTCGAAGAGCAAAGGAGGCTTCTCAGTGACTCAGTTGCCACATGCATAAACCAGAGAGATGGTTTGCAGCCAGGTTGGTATTGGGTACTCCTGTGAAGGCTGGTGGGTCCAGCAAGACAAAGTGTTATCTCTGAATCACAGAATGATTTGCGTTCAAACCCATCTAGTTCAAACCCTCCTACCATGGGCAGGGATACCTTCCATTAGAATACTCTTGGTGGTCCATTTGGAAAGACAAAAGAAGATAAGCTTTGGGTAGGTGAGGTGGTTTGGGGGTCTTTGGGGAAGTGGGTGGTCATACCCATCCTTCCACTCATGTTCAAAACCCACATCCTCTGGAAAAAGCACTCTGCATCTCCTCCATGCTGCTGTATCTATCATGGAGGCAGGTTGTGGGAGGCTGGGGCTAACATTGCCAGTCCCTTTTCTGCTATCCTCAGTGCCTGCCCAAAGGATGCACATCAGGACTTAAGGGCACTGTGGGGAATTTGTATGTCCTGGTATGGCATTCTCCTTGGGGTTGACGATGAGACCAGTACTCTGACTGCCATGAAGTACAAGGAATCACAGGGAGCAACAATAACTGGTTGGGGAGTGGCAGTAGCCCAGCATCTAACACATCTGAGTTTCCTTCCTTGCCTGTGGGGAGAAGCAGCCCTCTCTCCCCAGCCCATGCTGTTCCACACACAGCTTGGTGACATTTCAGCGTTGTAGGGTTGCCTGAGCTGCCGTCATCATCTTCGCCCCCGCTGACAGCCTGGAAAATCAGCTGGCCTTCAGCAAGACAGAGCTGTGTCTGTCTGAGCCAGGGCAGTCTTGGGGGGTGTGTGAACAGAAAGGCTTTGTGTGAAGGGAGGGATGGAGCTGAACTGACTCTTTCTATGTGGCCAGAGGGGCTGAGTCCCCCAGCATCCCACTGGGCTCCTTGTGGAAGGAGATCTCACTCCCCTCTGCTCTGCCTTTGGCTCTTCCTGGTCACGGAGTTTGTGGAAAGCCTGTGTGTGTTTTAGTTTATTTCCCTTGTCTACTGCAGGAGAAAGATGCTCTGTGTACAGCTGACTTCTGAAGTCAGGGCCCACCACGTTTTGGTCTCACTGTGAGGGGCATGAACATGCCTTCCACATCCCATTTACACAGCAGACAGGTGATGCCTGAGAATTTCTAAATAATTTTCTCTGGGACTAAAAGGTAAGGATGTATTTGTGACATGAATTGGTTTACATTCAGGGACACATACATTAATTCACTCCTATGTGTAATGACAGATAATTGGATCCAGTTGTAGAGGGTCAAACTTTGCTTGTCTTCTGCTGAGCATCTCAGAGCTTTTCTTTATCTGCTTTTCTGGCTTTCATCTCACTTGTAGCTCTTGGTCTTCAGTCAGGTATCATCCTTTGCTGCCTTGCTCTGTACAGCATGAGGTCTTTCCAAGAAAGCTTTCTGGACCTTATGTTCTTCACCTGTAAGGTGTCATGCTCACCTAGTCCAAACCCATCCCTGCTGAAGCACAGAATGAATTCAAGCTTCTTGCAACCACCCAGCTCTGCAGTTTCATAGGATCATAGAACGGTTTAGGTAGGAAAGGACCCTTAAAGTTAAAGCAATTAGCAGAGGATGGTTGAGCAGGGGCTCTTTCTGGCATGGGCTGGCAGTGGGAACAGAGGCTGGAAGTGGGTCCCACATGCCAGCAAGGTCCTGTGTGCATAACTAGACATGTAGGTGGTCCCTGTTTTGCTGCCTCTGCACCAGACAAAGGGAACTTTGCCAGCAGTTTTGACACCAGAAGGCATACATGCTGAGCAGTAGCAGACTCACTGATGATGCTCTTTGGTAGGATTGTTTGATCAGACCTGCCCAGCTGTCTTGACCACAAAATCACCATTAAAAAAAAAAAAGAAATTGAGTTCACACCTGCTCTGTTTACTGCTGAAGTTTCCCAGAAGCCTCTTTCTCTAAAACGTTTCTCTAGGTTCTTTCTCTCAACTTTTCATCTCAGCAAAAGTAACTGAATTTCACAGAACTGCTTTCTGCCAGCCAGACAATGCAAAGTGACATTTTTAGTTGCTGGACCCAATTGTACCTGAATTCATACTGGTTCTCTAAGGGAGAGAGCCCAGAAAAAAGTCTGGGCAGTCTTCTGCAGGAAAGCAAAAGTAGTACCTCTGGGTATCAGGAATCTTGATATCTCACCAATTTGCTGTCTGCAAGAAAGCTGGGAAGCACCATCAGCTTTTCCAATTTAATGCAGGGTTCAGTAGGGTCCAAAATGTCCATGAAGTTCAAATCAACTGTTCTGCTTGTGTGCTAAGGGCACAATGCAGTTATTAAACTACACTAAGTCCCTACAGCATCTGCTTTCTATTACAACCAGCAAATCTTCCCTTAGGCAATCACGGTAAATTCTTGTTCAGAAAAAAACAAGCAGTGGTACTCCATGCATTTGGCACACACTGTTTTGGGGATTTCCTGACCCAGAAATGGAGTCTCCAGTCCCAGGGAGACTGTCTGCAGGGAGAGGATGGTGTGTACACACTTCTATCTCTCAAGGCCATGGCCATAGCTTGTTTTGGAGAGTTTCAGCACAAACTGTCTGCTAAAACATAAGAGCTCATCGTGTCTCTGGCTTTGCTGTGAGAAAAGAGTGGGTGGAGAGTGGAAATAAAAGCTGTCAACTATTAAAAACAACCACTTGCTTTCTTGGAAAAGTTGTCACTTGTGATCTGTGGAAAGAAGTGAGACATAGGTGATAAGTTTTGCCCAGAGAAGTTGTGGATGCCCTATCCCTGGAAGTGTTCAAGGCCAGGCTGGATGGGGCTTTGAGCAACCTGGTCTACCGGAAGGTGTCCCTGCCTACAACAGGGACATTGGAACTAGATGATCTTTAAGATCCTTTCCAACCCAAACCATTCTATGATTTTTCAGGCTTCCGTGTGAAAAGTAATTGTAGTGAACTCACTGGGATGCTGGGAATGTGCTTTGGCACAGGCAGGATCTCATTTCCATATACTTACATGGCACTAGTATGGATCTAAACAGTCCATCCCTTGTGTATGCATCCCTTTCTTCCCAACCATCCTTCCCTCATCCTTTCTGCTCCTCCATGTACTCCCAAAGCCTGAGGCTGCTTTGGTGAAAAAAAAACAATAAACAAAAAAAACTCCCTATCTCTTCAGTGCTCTTCCTTTTGTTTGAGGTTTTCCTGGGCAGAGGGGAAAAGAGGAGACTGAGGAACAGCTCTGATCCCTTCCCTGGTCAGGCTGTTTTGCTTCAACTTCTTCCTGCATCCGGCACTGCAGCCTTTCCTGGAATGGGCTCGGCCTTATTCTTTCCAGCGGGGTGTCCTCCCTCCCTCCCTGCTTTCTCTGGCCTCCAGCCCTGCTCTGGATGCCAGATCTTTGCAGAGGGAGCAGCTGTTTGAGCCCTCTAATCAGGTTTTGGCTTTGGTGGTTGTTTGCTGGACGTCTTCGTGATGCAACACAGAGAAGCCAGAAAGCTAATTACTGGGATGTTTTGGAGGGAAGGAAGCCACAGCATCAGCCTGAGCTGGGAAGGGGGTCCTGAAGAGCCTTGTTTTAGTGAATCCACTTAAAAACAAGAGTGGCTGCTGGTTGCTGAGCCAAAACAGATTTTGGAGCTCACTAAGTCAGCATCAGCGGCTCCTTTTGGCAGCAGCACTCAGCTATTGCATTAGAAATGAAACAGAGCTTTTTGGACTAAGCCCAAATCCCAACACCTTGCTTGAAACTCCTTTCCCTCGTGCTCTGCCTGCTGCTATGTGAAGGAGAGGGAGATCTGTATTCAGGCAAGTAGTACCACTCCCAGTGGACATCTCAACCTGATCCTCAAGCTCAGAGTTTTGCCCTCCCTTTTTGGGACAGGAATGCTGGCATTGCACCGTTGGGAGCAGGAGGTTTGGTCTGTACATTGGGTCAGCTGATCTGGGTGTTTGGAAGGTGGGTAATTAGAGAGGGGTGGCATGGATACAAGGAGATGGGGCTGGATGAGATGCACAATGGTGGCAGAAATAAGGGAGATCTGGAGCACCTGCTGTGTCTGCTGATCCCCTGTGGAAAAAACAGTGATGGTCTAAGGTGTGGAAGAGACTCATCTACCCAGTGGGAAAAGAGTTAATCTCTTCTAATCATCACTGTCCCAAACTCTCTCCTTGGATACAGGATGCTTCCAGTGTTGCCATGAGATTGGTACAGAGTTCAGTTAGGGTCTTTAGTACCCCTGGGCCTTATCCAGGGCTTGCTTTCTCTCTGCATCAAGGGGGGCCACTTGGTTTAGGTTCAGCCCATCAAGCTATGACTGGGACTGCTGGGACTGGTCACCAGCCAGGACAAATTTGTACACCTGTGGGAAGCAACTGAAGCCTGGTGGGAGGCTTACCTCAGGCACAAGTGTGATGTTGAACCACATGAGCTGCATGCTGTCGTCCTTTAGCTCTTCCCAGGGAGCAAGGTTGAATCTGGAGAAATTTTTTTCCTCTGTGTTCTGGGAGGCGGGTGGGCTGCTGTGTGCTGAGTGTATTCCTGTCCACAGCAGTGTGCTGCAGGACCTTGCAGAAGCACCTTATAGTCATCCCTAAGATGCTGAGTGGTTGTGACATGAGATCCCAAAGACGCTTGGAGGGGACCAGGTGGGAACTCAGCATCAAGCTGTGCCAAAGGTGCTGTAAAGAGAAGCTGTGACAAAGCATGAGGAGGGTTTCCAGGCAGGCTGTTGTCACAGTGACTGGGTGGCTCAAGGTGAGGTGTGGTGATGGTTGAACCTGAGCTGA